AGCAAGGTGACCCATTCTCATTTCCAGGGGTTGGGCTGGGAAATACGCCACTTTCCGGTGTTAATATTGGGGCTTTCCATGCAATTTGGTCCTAAGCGCCCAAAGGTCACCCAGGGGTCAACCGGGGTCAAATTTCCATATTCGGGCTTAAAATCTCATAGGGGTCCTACCTACCAAGTTTCATCCATATCCCGTTAATACTTCCCAAGTTATCCCATTTCTAAGGTCCATTATCACTTTTCCCGGGGAAAGGCTATTAACACCGGAAGGAGTCGCCGGAGGGGTTTCAATCACAAGGGGTTCTTTTTCGGGGATGAGTTGTAGTATCTGATACCGCCATGAAATCGTTAAGCACTCGCTCATTATTTTGCGTAAATTGCCTACTTCCGGTTTAAGGGGTGGTTTTCCAAAGTGCTAATCACTTCCGGTTCATCCGCTGGATTTGGTTCAAATTATAACACAAGATGTATCTTGCCACTTACTATGCTATCCCAAAGTTTTAGCTTCCTGCGTTCAGTGGGTCCGAGAAAAGACTCCCTGAAATCGGGGTGGGGTTTGTTTGCATAGGCCATAAAACCGGAGGTAGGGGTCCAAGGGGCCTGGTTTTCTAAGCTTAAGCTTTCCTCAACTAGGTCTATAACAAACTAGATTTTGGTTCCATTCCGACTGCTAGTTACCGTGTTCTGATAGGGCCATTTGCACTTCCGGGAACCGTTATCACTTGGGGGCAGGGGATCCGAGGGTTATGGATTTTTGCATGCCCGGGTCAAATCATCTCTAGTATCCGTCCTATGAGTTTCATAAACCTAGCCACTGTAGTTCCCATTTGGGGGTGGGATTGCAGATTTTACTTCCTCTGCACTTTCTGGCATAGGAGGGACGATATCTTCGAAGATTGAACTAATTCGAACTTAACCCTTTGTTTGCTGTATTACTTAACTTAATGACGAATCCATCTTACGCTCAGGTTAATATTTCATGTAATACAGTAGAATCACCAATTCTACAGTAACTATTGATATCCTCAGATTTTGTTTCAATTCATATATGGAACTCTTAACATGAAATAGAGGACTGAAAACCGATTCGGACCTTAAGATCTTGGCTATTTTTTGGTTGCAATCCTCCCTCCCCCTCCCCGATATTGAAAAATTAAACTAAAACTATGCATAACAAAATTGAACAATTGTTATTAAGAAATGTAGACAACTACTGGGGATCGGCCAAAGTGAAATATTGTTTTCTAAGAAACGTAAAACATATGTTTTCATCTTTTTTCAATCGTTTTCTCATAAGTTTGCTGAACTTTGTGTCAGGCGCATTCCGCGAACCTGTTTATTACAAACTCTTTTTATTTTTCAGGCTGACTCAATGCTCTGGGTATCAGCTCAGATATAGCATAACCATCAAAAGCTTGCTATGAAAATGAGCGTTTCTTAGTTTTCACGCTTTTAGAAAAGGCAAAATTGAAATGCAATATTTACTCTTATAGGGAGGAGCTGAGTTATTATAATAGAAAAAACGGGAACTGTAAGAAGCAACATAGAAAAGTTTCTGTTTATCGCCACTGAGAGGTTAAAAATCATGATAACTTAAGTGCATTCAATCAGAAAAAAAACGAAGGTTATCTTCGCATCTCTCTTTAGTTAAAATCTATTATCTCTACTAAGCTTTTTTTTTCTTCCAAGAATTTTAAAATATATTATTCTGAAAAAAGTTGTCGTAATTTCCGTAAGCAAGAAACTAAACTTTCTTCGATCCGTTATTTGAGACTTAAGTTTGACGGTTTAAAGACAAATAACAAGTAGCTCAAAATTTTTGGTTTTTAATGATTTTTTTATCCCCCGCGTTTAATGTGTACCAGTATATTCTTGTTTAAGTCAGAGCACAGGTCAGCTAATTATTTCAGGGGCCCAACTTTGAAAAATCAGTAAGTTTTAATCATGAAGATCAACCCGGGTCGAGGCGCTCACTTTGAGTTTCGACTTTCAAAATCGAGCACATATCAGTGCTCGACTGAAAAAGGATAGTCGAATCAGGTTTTGGGTCGTGGACAAATTCGAAACATACCTCGAGCACAGGCAAAAATACACCGGTTGTCCTGCTGTAATTCAAGAAGGAAAATGTCTTTCAAATATGAACATATTTTGTAACGTTTCCGACTCAATTTGCAAAACAGTATTCCTAAAAATAATTCATCTTTTCATCATTTAAATTGCAAATAAATCGAATCATTTCATTCTAATAAAGATGCATGATGAACCGTAGTAATGTTGGCACTTCTGGGATTGCTGCTTTGCTTTCATCATGATTCGAAATCATCTCAAGTCTCTTTTAAATGAGTTTATCAAAACAATTAGGCTGAAATTCTCTTTCTGATCTGCTTTCGGAGTTTTAACTAGAACACCCAATATTCCTCGATAAAAATATAAAATGATTTGTAAAGCATATTTTTCTAATGTTTGTTTCATGATTCCTAAAAAAAGTATTCCTAAAAATAGTTCATCTTTTCATCATTTAAATTGCAAATAAATCGAATCATTTCATTCTAATAAAGATGCATGATGAACCGTAGTAGTGTTGGAACATCTGGGATTGCTGCTTTGCTTTCATCATTATTCGTAATCATCTCAAGTCTCTTTTAAATGAGTTTATCAAAACAATTAGGCTGAAATTCTCTTTCAGCTCTGCTTTCGGAGTTTTAACTAGAACACCCAATATTCCTCGATAAAAATATAAAATGATTTGTAAAGCATCTTTTTCTAATGTTTGTTTCGCTAGCAGGCAGTCAGAAGTTTACCCAAAAAAAAAGAGAACAAAGAAAGTTTTCATTCTCCTCTTTCAAAATCTTCGAAAATAATTTGAATATAAGAATTAGCCTAGAAGTCCACCAACGTCACACTTAGGCAACTTGCGCCATCAGACTCAATTTTTGATCTTTTCGAAGTTGCATCTTTTTTCCGCTACTTGATAGATCCAACCAGCTGAGGTCTATTTGTTCCATCAACAATTTTTTTAAGTTTTTCTATGTGCTGCACTAAAAGTAAAATAAAATATATGTTTCGCACAGTTCTAGCAACTGAATTATATCAGTTGCTAAAGCAGCGTTTTGTCATCTAAAGCAGCGTCATGCTAAAAAGTTTTTATTCTGCAAAAAAAAATTAAAAAACTGGATAAAAAAACACTCAAAAATTGGTCGAAATCAGTCGTTTATTTCCATAAAAGCAAAAACAGGGAATTACCTTTTCTACACTATATTTTGGTAGAAATTAATGGTTGTTGAGAACTTAAAATACTTTTGGAATTTTCACCAAAAGTAGTTTCGACTCGCAAATAATGAAAAGTAAAAAGTAGAGCAATGTCGCATGATACCACTACTTTTCATAACAAAGACAGATTCAATTTTCTTAAAGTTTCATAGAAATCAATGAATCGTAAGAAAGCAGAGAAATTCTACAAAAATTTATGATATCTAATAGCTGAATCCAGCTAAACTGAAGAATATTCTGTAGAAAAACAGCGCAAAAATTGTTATCGAAGGTGAAAAACGAATTTTTTAGATGCAAAAATTGATTTTAAAATTTACCGTAAATAGACATAATTTAGTTTTTGGAATTTGAAAACTGACAGGTAGTTTATTGCGTAGAATAATATATAAAATATATTGAGCTGCTAAACCCTCATTATAAACCCTGTGTTCGTATAAGGAAATTCAAAACCCCTACGTTCTTCAAAACCCCACCTTCCAAAATGAAATCTAAAATCTGGTAACTTTAATAAAATTTTTATTAGAAACAGTACACTGGAGAGGCGCATAACTAGGTGACTGTACGTCAGTGGAACCCAGAGACAAATGTTTAAACAGTTCCACTTAAAAATGTCCGTGGATTCCGCGTACAAATACCTGTAATGTTGAGGATAGGTACAAAAGTAGCGGATCACAAATTTAATCTTGGCCTGTTGCGGAATCCGGTTAAAATTGACAAAAAGCGCAGTTTGGCCTTTTAACGTTGAACTATTGCTTTAATGATGTAGTGTAGAGCTTTGTAAGTTCCAGATTTTTTTCTTAAATCTGGGTGCAACGAGCACATCAAGGTGAAGCTTAGAACATTTGAATTTTATTTTCATTTTGAGTCTTTTAGATATCTTAAAGATAAGAACGCACCATGAAATCTATTAAAGACAAAATCTAAGCAAAGTCCTCCTGAGATTCTGAATTGGTGATTAAAAATGCAGAAATTTTGTTTTACAAAAAAATCGTTTTTAAAACGAAATTGAATTAACGCGGATTTACAGCGCTTTCATTCTACAACTTGCATGCGGTACAAGTTATACTAGAACATAAGCTGCGTAAGATGGTTCTTGATCAAGCTAAAACTATTTTTTGAAAATCCACGGAGTTCGAGAAAATACTTCTCAGATCCGTCTTCTAAACTGAGAGAAAAACTTTTGAATTCTCAAGAGCAGTTGCCAGGAAGGGGCCTGTTAATATTTTGAAACATTTTATCGGCATATTTTAAAGCAATTTTTTTTCTCTTTAAGACGCAGGCCTTATTTTGCAACCTCGCACAAAAACTATGGCGTTTAACTTAGATTTTTGAAAAAGTTGAAGGTCAGCCGACAAAAATTGTCTGCTATATACTTTTGTACCAAGCAGCACTCACTTGGCAATAAGTTGGAAAAAAACTGAAATGAAAAAAATGATTTTTAAAATTTTTATTCAATTTTTGAAAAAGCAGGCAAAAGACGTTTTTTACACTTTTTGAAAGGATTTGGCCATAAAGTGTTATTTTAGCTTAAAATTAGTATAAATTGACGCCGAAGGAGCCTTAGGAAAAACTTGATGGTTGGTTGATCAAAAATGCATGTTGTAAAATCGTTTCGTTTAGATGGTTGAGTGTTTGAACCCTCGAGGGGCTCTAACCCTCTCCTGCTTATATGTCTTTGTTCCCGGGCCTTTTACAAAAACATACTTTTATAAATGGATTATTTGTCTTGAATGGAAATATTGCACAATTCAATGGTATAGCAAAATAAAATACTACAGAAATGATAAAATCCTCGTTATGAATTTATTTGAAAACTTGATATCTGGTTCAAAAGGATTACTATCTTTTCAAACTTGGGGTAATAACTTTTGTCTGTTTCAGCCAACTTAGAAATGTTGTACAATTTTGTCGAGAACTTGTCAAATAGTTTTTGTCGTTTGTTATCGATTATTGTTTTCTCATCGAGTTCCTGATTTGTGCTCTTCAATTTGTCCAATTTTTTGTGATTATTTGATTTCAACGAGGTATTGGTTCGTGTTTGAAATATGTCATATAAATTGAAACTGCATTTATTTTTCCAGATTTTTTGAAGATGTGAAGCCTTTTTGCTTTCTTGGAAAACTGCTGGAAGCTGGTATGAATGATAACTATGCTTGAGAATATTCCATGAAATTGCCTGGTACTTTTCAGAGGCAATTCGGAAATATTGTCGCTCGGTTAATCCCGACTCCCAATTTAATACCATAAATGGTAAGTTCGTCTTGACGTGTGAACGAACCGATTGTAAGATTTGCGAAGTTGATTTGTGGTTCGGGTATACGTCTTTCAGGGAAGTCGTAGCCTGTAGGATAGTTTGTGGTTCGGGTTTTTCCTTGTCAAAATGAGCAATTGAGTTGACATCTTTGATTGACAGTTGGTGAGGTGTTATCGGAGACTGCGGACAATATTTCTTGGAATTGAGAGATGATCTGAAACCCATTTTGAATACATACTTAAATAGGGGCACAAGAAAAGATACTTAAATAGGAGCTCTTGTGTTGGTCCTTTACCCCGTGGATGAATGGTCTTAATCTTAATCTTACTTTTTGGGTAAAGCTTAGAAAATAGAAAAGTTAAATGGCCCCTGATTGCAAAAAAAACATTGCTCAAGAAACCTTCAACACAAAATCTATATAATATCCATCTTTATTATGAAACTTTAAGCCTCAAAGTACAATTAGGGGCGGATCTAAGATTTTCTCGAGAGGAGGGGAGGGGGAACACTATAAAGACCCCGCTTGAAAGTTTTTAAACAAAACAGGCCAAAAGGGCCATTGTGGGCACTTTTTAGAAGGGTGCGTTTTTGAGCGCGCTCTCGCAATCAAAGTTGTTATATAATGGTTCCAAAAGCATCTTTAGTAAGTTTTTAGGGTAGACACTGCATGTCGTAAATTAGTAACAAAGAGCACCCTTTGGTTAGAGAAGGGGTCGAAATCCTGAGGGTGAGAAGGGGGCAAAATCACCCACTGAGTACAATATTTTGCTATGCAACTCTGAGCCCCCCCCCCCCCTACCTTACATCGGCATCAATTTAATGGGGTAAGTTTAATTAAGAAGATCAAATAAGTTTTTCATGGCCTAATCAATCTGCATGCAAGTTTTTATAACAATCGGACAAAGTAGACGGATAAATTTTCAAAAATGTTACAAGTGGAGGTGGGGGAAAGAAAAAGAGCCTAACTCTCAAAGCGTTAGCGGAAGTTGCTAAACTTTTGTCCATTAGAACTGGATTCTGTTCTAATTTTTTTTCAAGTTACCAAACTTCTCAAAGTTGCAGAACTTTTGTTTAAAAAAAAATCATTAAATACGAAGAAAAAAGAATTGCCTCCACCTGCAATCGAAAAACCAATGGCATGAAAAGACTACGTAGAAGTAACTCACGTGCTAAAAGCTATGAAGCAGTTTGTGTGTGGATTTCTAAACGCCAGAGACATCCACATCGACACACCGCCAGAGAGGTCAAGGTCACCCGAAACCACCCCCCTTGACCCCTGGAGTCCAAAGGAAGCAGATGGGTTGAACGAGGAAGGGGAGAAGGTTGAGGTCAAGGTCAAGTTTGTGGAGGGGTAAGGGGTGGGTAGAGAATTGGGGAAGTCTTGAGGTTTTTGTGTCAATACCAATTGTTCGAAAATGCAGAATTTCTCTTCGAATGGCTGAAAAAGAAGATAAATAGTTAAGTACGAATATGAAGAAGAACTTTTGGATCAGTTTCCAAAGAAGATTATACACGCCAAAAAGTTTCAATGGATGGCTTCAACGGTTCCTAATCTAAGCAAAAAAAACCTATTGCTGTGCAAGTAGCATAGAATGTCCCAATTACAGTCATCAATAAAAAAACTACTTATCAAACAAAAAAGGCTGGCTTAAAAAATTCAAGCCCGCAACATGAGAGGACGGTACTTGCTTTTACATGAAAAAAAAATAAGCCCGAGTACTAAAATCCGTAACACATTCGATGATGGGGAATTACCTAATTATCTCAGCCGTCAAGTTATTTCAAAATAAATGAACGAATGAAATGAACAAACGAATGAATGAATGAATGAATGAAATGGGGCAGTACAACAGTGCCGAAGTACAACAGTGCCGAAAATGAAAACTTTGTTCAACAGTGCCGAAAATGAAAACTTTGTTCAACAGTGCCGAAAATTTGGTGACGTCCCATTTGTACCAACGGTCGTTTGTACCAAAATGAAAAATCGGCCCCATTTGTACCAAAATTATTCAAATCGATTTCTGATTGGTCGAATTGTGAGCCAACGAATTATTACATGAACTTTCTACTGTTCAAACAGAAGAAAAATAAACAGCAGAATAGTGACCGCCGCAGTCGCGCCAACGGGTTGCGAGTTTGCCAACAGAGGGTAGGACTCTATGCAAAAATTAGAGCCGGTTATCGCCGCGAAGCGGCGTCGCGCGCGTAGCGCGCCCACCGGCGACCTTAAACCAAGAGCTTAAAGTAGTTGGCTTAATAGTCTTAGACCAATTGAATATTTTTGGTACTAACGCGATTGATTTTTTATTTTGGTACAAATGGGACTGATTTATCATTTTGGTACTTGTGAATACCCACCGAAAATTTGAACAAATTTCAACATATTAAGTGCGGCAATCAAAAATTAAACAGCGATCGTTTACAATCTTAAGTGGCACTTAAAGATTTTGGGAGAGAAAATTTGCAATTTAGACGTTTTGGCGCCAAAATAATTGTTTACTTTGCAGTTGCAGACATATTGGCGCCAAAATTGGAGTGATTTTCTTTGATAATTAGCGCCAGTAATTTCCCGCTCTTTAGAAAATGCGTGTAAATTATTCTGAAATTTTCCCGCCTTTTTCGGCACTGTTGTACTTCGGCACTGTTGAACGCCCCCAATGAAATGAATGAATGAATGAATGAATGAATGAAATGAAGGAATGAATGAATGAACGAATGAATGAATAGAACAAACGAATGAATGAATGAATGAATGAAAGAATGAACGAATGAATGAATGAAATGAACGAATGACTGAATGAAGCAATGAAGGAATGAATGAATGAACGAATGAAATGAACAAACGAATGAATGAATGAATGAATGAATGAATGAACGAATGAACGAATGAACGAATGAATGAATGAAATGATCGAATGAATGAATGAACGAATGAAAGAATGAGTGATTGAATGAATCAGTGAATCAATCGATGAATCTATGAACTAAAACCATTTACAAACAAAAATTAAACATTAGTAACCAGGTAGTAAACAAGTAGCACAGAAAGTTCCGACCACATTGATAAAAAAAAATTTTTTAAATACATTTTGAAGATACTTAGTGTAGTTTTTCGATTGTTCACAACAAAAGACAACTCGCAATAAAAGACAGCTCGTTATTAAAAACCCAAGACAACTCAGAAAGGGACAAACTAAGGCAAGCGACAAATCAAAAGATTTGAAATGTAATTTGAAACTAATGAATTTCATTCAGCTTAAGGTCGCCGGTGCTTCGCGACCACAATCGGTTCAAGTTTTGTCATAAAGTCCTACCCTCTGTTGGCAAGCTCACTACACGTTGGCACGCTACATGTTGGTCCGCATATTTAGAAGCAAGTTTTGAGTTGAGTTTCGAATCCTGTGTTTTGATTTGATGTCTTACCTTGAGTTTGGCTTTGGCGTCCAGTGGTGTTCCGTGCATGCATATGAAGGTATCGAAGTCGAGTAGAGATCTGATTGTGTAGAGACCACTCGACTGGTTGTAGTCCATGTACCACAGACCTGAGAAGCGATATGTATAAATATATATACAAATTAGCTCGCATATTACTATTAAAAACAGTTAAGTTTCTGAATTTAGGTTCAATGTTCTTTAGCAGATGCTTTTTAATTGTTCGAAAAACGGAATATGTATGCTTGGTGTGAATTTTTATGTAGTCGATTTTCGGTGATCGAAATAATAGTTTTCAACAAATTGTTTTTTAGTTCATAAAAGATATTGACTCCTTGAGTTCGAAGCTAAAAAGTTATTTTACCTCGGGTTATTTTTTTCAAAGTTCCGGGAACTTGAAAATTGCCAGAACTATTCCCGGAACTTTGAAAAAAATAATCCGAGGTAAAATAACTTTTTAGCTTTGAACTCAAGGTATCAATATCTTCAATGAACTAAAAAAAAACATTTTGTTGAAAACTATTATTTCGAGCACCGAAAATCGACTACATAAAAATTCACACCAAGCATACATATTCCGTTTTTCGAACAATTAAAAAGCATCTGCTAAGGAACATTGAACCTAAATTCAGAAACTTAACTGTTTTTAAAAGCAATATGCGAGCATCGTTAATTTGGTTGCTGGTTATAGACTAAAACCAAATTGCTATTTTGTACACTTTTTTGCAATTTCTCAAAAGTTGACAATGTATGAGAGGAAAATTGGTTTTGGGCTCAAAGCGTTATTTTTTATTCAAAAGGGAAGAAAAAATTGTACTTTTATTGCCAAAAGTTTTGTAGGAGAAAAACAACAAGCACAAATAATTGATACAAACACAAACCCTAGAAAAATAACTGTTTGGTATAAAAACAAATCATTTCGAAACAATTTCAGTTTAGATGTTTAAACTGCACTTGGAACTTGTGTTAAACAGTATGGATCTAACAAATTAATATAAAGTGCTGTTTTTGCCTGGACAAAATTGTGAATGTTCCGATGGCTTGTAAACATGTCAAAAAAGATTGAGGTCAAAATTTTTCAAGTCATTGTCCAGTAGTGCATCGTTTGAAGCAACTATAGCTTGAGTCAGTTCATCTTTGAACTAAAGTGAGCACTTTTCGATTCACCGTTCACGAGGTTATAACATACAACCTGTTTGATTATTTAGGCAACCGCTATTAAATAACTCAGGCGCAAAATGACTCAGAAACTGAACAACCTCTTGGCAACCGGGAGGCTAAGGAAAAAGTACAATGAAAATTTTTTTGAGGAAAGTTTTTTCGAGCTTTCCATTTCTTTTTTTTTGGTTTCCAAGACAAATTCTGTAAGAAAAAATTAACTTGAAGCTCTTTCAAAAGGAATTTAGCCTATAATTCTTCCAAATTTCTACCCATTTCAATAAAATGTTTCTTGGGAAATAATTAAAATCTTAACTACCTGTACACAAACTTCATAACGAGGCCAAACTGTGCATTTTGTGCATTGTAAGCGGATTCCGCAACAAGGACGCTCCCTTTGTTCTTCTTTTGTTCTTTCATTTCCTTTGATCGTTCTGACAAAAATTTAACATGCTCAAAGACTTGTCTATGGAATCCAGTAACGTACAGACACAAAATTGTGCGCCTATCCAGTGCACAGTTTGGCCTCGTAATGTTAGACAAACAAGCAATTTTTAAGGACCCACGAGCCTCATTTTGAAGTAATTTGACAAGCAACTGAACCTCAAGCTGGTCATTGGTGGTATAAAATAACGGATGTTGTCCAATTTGACAGCTTTCAAACCCATAGCCGTCGCTCACCGGAGTTTCATGGATAATAATCGATTATATTGTCATTTCACAGACAGTCTCTATGAAATTACAAACACAATCGATTATAACTGATTTAAACAGGATAATAATGTTACTATTTTTCTAATCATTAAAATCTTTATATAATCGATTATTTTTGAAAAAAAAATGAAACTGTTTTTGGTTACATTGTAATCCATTTTTAATCGATTATAAAGCATTATTTTGCAACTTTCTTCGTGTTACTTCGTAACTTCTCTGTAGTTAATACCAAACCAGTTTGAAATAGTATTTTTTCATTTTGAACTCAAAACAGTTCTTCGTAGCTTTCGAATCAATTTCTGATGAGGAATGCGGCAAAAAATGCAATTTTTCGGCCAGTTGATTTACTGCTTGAAGAACGAGCTCCTCAAAAACACTATTTTTGACCAATCGATTATTTTTTGAGGGTGAGGTAACATTACCCAGCCGAGAAAAATAACCAAAAAATTGCATGTATATCTTAAGCATGGGCACAGCAGCGGTTCTCCGTGATGAGCTGTACAGCTCGTATGTTAGTCCTTTCCTCGTGGATAAAAGATCTTCAAGAAAAAAAAATATATTTTTTTTCTGAAATCCGGAACTCTAGTCCTTTCTTCTTTGAGCTGTACAGCTGATGAGCTGTACAGCTCGTATGTTAGTCCTTTCCTCGTGGATAAAAGATCTTCAAGAAATCCGGAACTCACTGTATGGATTGTTGTCTCCGGGCGAAATACTGGCTACCAGGTGCTTATCCACATTGGATCCCACCATGAAACCAGACTTGATATATTTCAGCTCAAAGATCCGGTCGAATGAGATTTCCTCCGGTCTCCGGAGTCTCTCGTCTCCCATTAGTATGACGTCATTTGATCTGTGATTGGTCTGTTTGGTGAGTGATATTTGCTGATATGTGACGTCAGTTGGGACGGTCGAAGAGTTTAATTTGATCGCGTTTTCCACCTAAATAAGTTCATAACAAATCATACACATAAAGTCATTATTGAATTTTCAATAAATAGATTTAAAGCATTTATTTAAAGCAATATTTTTCTTTCAAATGTCGGGTGAAGAAGTGTGTAACCATACTGACAAGAGGTTCTACAAGTTTTTGAGTCGATGAGCGCAATCAGGGGCGGATTAATTTGGCGGAAGCCCCCCTTCCCCTCAGGAATTCGACCCCCTCACCACCCAAAAAGTTCCCCCTTTGGTACTTTTTTAGAACATGCATTTTCGGGCATCCAACCCTAAAACTTTTCCAAAAGTGCCTTAGGAGTCAATATAAACTTATTTTGAGGGGGAGCGCACGCCGAAAACAGCAATTTTTTAAAAATCAAACGTGTCCACACATGGTGTTTTTGCCCTTTTTTTATAAAACTTTCACCTGAGGCTCCGAACGTTTTGTCAAAGTAGGGTCTTTATAGTGTTATGGGAGCGCTTGAAAAATCAATTTACTCGACCTTGAAAAAGTTGACAAAAATTTCGATTTTTTTTCAAACTCACCCTCCTCGAAAAAATCCTAGAACGCTGAGCGCAATTAAATTGGGGCGGTGAGATAGAGCGACAATGTTTCTATTTTTTTTCGCTCACAACCAAAAGTTATCATTAAATTACAGAATATATTTTTTGGTTTGCTAGAACGCTGTTCTGATAAAAGTTTTGGTGAAACTCAATAGTAGGCTCAAAGCTTTCAAAAGCCATTAATTAATCCGTTAAATTAATCCTTTATAAGGGCTGATATTTGTTACCACGAGGAAGGCGGGTGATGTTTGATCAAAATTTAACATTTCGGTCGATTTTTTGTGCTTTTAAAAGAGCGCAGACAAATGTGTTTTTACATAAATTTGATGTTTCCGAGTTTTGTTTTTTTTACTCGAAATTCAAGATTCGAACCCCAACCTACCAACACAGTAGTTAATTACAGAGCCTTCGCCAGGTTTCATACCGCTTTTTAAATTACTATGATCATTCAAATATTTTATCAAAACTAGTGATTATGATTTTAAATCATCGAAGTAGTCTCAACATGTGAACAATTTCCCGCGGTGCTTTCGACGCCAAATAAATTCTGTCACTCTCAAAAAACTTCTTCAGGCAACCTTTTCAAAGTGATTTAAAAACTCACAGTTTGATTTTTTTCGCCTGAAGATATTTTTATTATATTATATGATTCTATAGCTAAAATCAATGAACTCTTTGTTGTTTAAAGCGCCCGGGGAAAAAGTTTTAAAAGGTCCAAAATAACCATCAAAGTGGCTCTTACTTAAGTCCAAAGTAATGATTTTTTGACTCTTCGAGTTGAATTATTTGCCGTTTATCAAAACAAACGTGTTGTAAACCGATTTTTAAGCCATATAAGCTCGATAAAGTTATAAATTTAATTAACTTGATAGAAATTCTGTGCATTTTTAATATGAAACTGGTATGGCTTGGTTTGGTTTTCAAGTGCGACTTAACAACTATGGGTAATTTGTTCATTCGTGGTTGTTGAACTTCGCGTTAAAATGTGACGCACTGCAAGCAATAGCTCCTGAACTGTAAAGAGCTTTCAAGTGAGCTCCAAAGTTTTCACAAAAGTGGCAACTCGATTCTTATGGTCATTTAGTGCTGAGGGGATTTTTTTTGTCTAAAATCAATTGGGCTTGACTTTAAAAGCAGATTAAAATCTAATATTTTAGCAGATTAATCAAAATGAGCACCTTTTAAATTAGCTTTTAATGCTTCATCAACTCTTAAAAATTTGTGTGATGTCAATTAAGCAATGTACAAAAATTTAAGCGATGTCAAAAACTTCGTGAATCGGTACAAAATTCGCATATGCTTACCTATGCTCAGGGGCGGATTTAGGGAGGGGGGTGGGGGGGGGGGGGCGGACGCTTTCCTCCCCTCAGGGGTTCGACCCCCTGCCGACCCAAAGGGTCCCCCCTTTGATACTTTTTAAGAAATCCAATTTTGGCCGACCGACCCTAAAATTTTTCTAAAGGCGCCTTTGGCGCCAATATATACTAATTTTGAGGGGGGACCGCGCGCCGAAAAAACGCAATTTTTCGGTCAAAATTTTCCAAAAAGTGCCTAAAAACGCCTTTTTTGGCCTGTTTTTTCAGAATTTTGCCTGCGGCGCAAAAAATTTGGCCAAAATTGGGACAAAACCGTGCTTTGGGAGAGCTCGAAAAATCAATTTGGTCGACCTAAAAAAAAAAAATTTTGAAAATCCGCCCCCCCCCCTCGAGAAAATCCTAGATCCGCCCCTGCCTATGCTTATATATATTCACATATGCATCTAGTTCTCATATTAGTGTTTTTAGAGGAGGGATTCGTCAATAGGTACCTTAGGGGTAATAGTTGAAAAAATGCGAAAACTTCCTCTGCGGGAACTAGATGATCGGTTCCCCCCTTTTTAACTCTAAACAACTTAACACCATAGAATTTCACTCCCTACTTTTTGTTGCCTAAGTAATTTAACATCGCTACATTTTAAAACAATTTCTATGACTTGACATGGTAAAATTTGCACACAAGTTTTAATGCAACGCTACTGAGATTGAATTGCTCAGGTTTTTTTAGGGAAACTGTGCTTACCATTTGAGGTCTGCTGGTCGAGAGAACCATCAGCATTGCTGCCAAGACAATGAAATCCAATGTTGACACCCTGAAAAGCAAAAAAAAAGTTATTAAAATAAAATTGAAGGGGAGCGGTGGTGAAGTAGCTAGGTATCCACTGATCTTTTTAAGTATCCCCTTTTTGCAAAAGGGAGAATTTGTTACTAGGAAAACGCTCTGCTGTTGAATAAGCACGTTATATTGGCGGAAGTTCGTTTCTAGGTACCATAGGGGGACGGATTAGTTAAAAAGATCTGTCTCCACCTATCAGCTCAAAGGTGACTGGTTCGAGGACCACAATGATCCAAGCTCGTTGTTTTAAGGCGCGGCAACATTAAATAGACCGGAAAAAGTATTAATAAAGTTGCATTTATTGCTTAATCAGCTGAACATTGCGGTTTTCCGCGAAGTCCCGAACAAATCTTAAACTGGACTTTTCCCTTGTGGATAACTTTTTAAAAGTTAAATTGCATCAAAACAAATTCCAGATACAGTTTCAATGAAAAAATAATCTATTCACGTTTTTACGGTATTTAAAAATACAAAAAACACCAAAAGTTATCAGACATCATTCATTTTTCCTAATAACCCCCACCTCTCAGCCAGATAAACTAAAGTTTGCCATTTTGCCAAACTTGTTCATTCAAAATGCTTTTAAGCCATTATTTGACTCGGGTTCGAATTTTCGGAGAGTTTGAGGCGTAACTATACCAGTTGCTATGTTTTTACTTTATACTATTCGATTATTTCTGCACATCTCTACTTAGAAACTTCAAATACTATTTTTATTTGATCTGAGTGATTCAGAAAAAGATCATAATTGAAAACTCATAAAGCTTCAATGTGATATTTCGGATTATTTAAAAATCGAAAAAAAAATGAATCATAGAGCATACTGAATATCACAAGACACTTCTAATAGCGTCAGTTACAATATTTGATGAAAAAATTCCCAGCGAATGAAGCCTATCAAAGTTCAATTGCACTCACTGCAAACTCAAAAAACGCTCTGCACGCTTACTTGTTTTGGTTTTGCACGTAAAGCTTCAAGGTTTCAAATGATTCCTGTTTTCTTTCCCTAGAAGCATTTTCCGGCAGCAATTCGCAAACACTAAGCAAATTTCACAAAAAAAAAACAAACCTGATTGGATTAGGGTGAAGCTCTGAATGTTCCGACTGCCTTTTAAGGTATATTAAAAAGTTTTTGATAAATATAATTTCTTTTGATTTAAGAAAATAAAAGTTGATAACTTGTCAAATAAGATGAATCAAAACTTTCTTCCTGATTTTGATTGAAATTTTTCTCCCATCACGCTATACTAAACACAAAATGATGTTATTAGCATTTAGCTTCATTAAGTCCAAATGGTTTGCCTCAATTCAATTCTGAACAATTTTTCAGCCAGATTAAATCACCGCTTACGCGTTACAAGCACGAATTAATTCGCGAGTTTTTTGTCACAAATTGGCAATTTTCCAAGCATATAATTTTATTAAATTTGCCAACAAAAGCAATTAAGTTAAATACTTTGTTACACTTGAGTTCAGAAAGTCAGAGCCCTTAAGATGATGTAACCTTCGGTCAGAGTACTTCGTTTAAGAATGAACGGAACAGTAATACTCGAATGATGCTTACCCGCATCCAGTTTCAAGCGTTAGTAATCGATTTGAATATGAATTTAGTACCAATTTTACAAAAATTGAGAAAAAATTGATTTGATTCAATTGATAATTTATTATAATTCTTCTTTTTGAAATCAAATAAAATCAATTATAATACATAATAATCGATTACGATCGATTATTTTTATCCGAAATTCTAACTTATTGATTTTGCAGAAAAAACCATTATGGTCAATTGTTTGCATAATGGATTATATATCGTTTAAACATTCAAAGTTGGCGCTTATAATTAATTATAAACTTGATAATAGTACAATTATAATTGTAACATAATCGATTATTTTCTGTTTTTACTGAGTGAGGGTGAGCAAGTTTGGACTAAACAAACCGCTTGATTTAGGGTTCATCGCATAGAGTTTTTCAGATATTTAAGTCAAACTTTTTAAAATTGGAAAATTATCATCTAATTTACTAGCTTACAAAACTCAGCAAAAAATTAAGAGTTGGATAATTTACAATAGTGAGAATTGATATCACGTTTTGCTTTTTTTCGTTCCAATTTGATTTGATATGAGTAATTTACTTCGCTTTTAACCAGCGCTTACTCTTTATCAATTAATGGGCATTCAGCTAGACAAACCTATCTAACATTTTCTTCAGTTTAAAAATGGTCCAATTTTTCCGCGAGTAGTCTGTCTGGTAGGTCTCAAAACAATTGTCAAAAACATAACTTGTCTGAAATATTGTAATTCTAATCACAACCGAAAAGTCTTCAATGGTCTCCAATCGAACCATTTTTCCGCGCTCACAGCTTAAACCGAAACAATGCAGTTTAGAGACGCGCGCCGGCTCAGCCGAGCATGCTCGGGGAGCTCGAAGCGAAAACTGTCGGCCGCGGCGGCTCAGCCAGCTGAAATCATCCTTGATCCTCGTTTTCTTACTTTTTTTAAAACGGACTCTGAAACATTTTTATTAGTCATGTGCGTCTTTATCAAGCAGCGCATAATTTTCATGATCAAAAATAAGTGTTTGAAATTAGTGGCTGGTAACTGTGATTGTATTTACACATAGTTAACGAATTAGAGCGTTGGTTAACTCATTAGAATAATAGCTGACACAATACAGTAGCTGGCTCTTTACTGTATTACTCACGAAATAATACAGCCGAGGCTGGCGATGTGTGTATTGCATGGCGGCGGAGTGTTACTTTGAACTCCGGCGGCGGCGGCTGAGCCGGCTAGCGCGCACCTCTACTACTATTCCCAATTAATTTATGTTTGTGAGTTGTCGTTTTCCTTCAATTTTGCAAGTTATCTTTGTTACCATTTTCGCAGTACTTAAATTTGAACCTAGAATTAAGGTTTTTTTTTGGAAATTTCTATTGTTTTTTCCAATCGTCACTGGTCGAATCTATGATATTTTGCTTCAATTAAGATGCTTGGCAAGCAAAAGGTCAAATAAAAACAGATTACGTAGAATGACAAAAGAGAAGAAAAAAAACAAAAAAAGAGGTCAAAAAAGGAAAAAGCCAAAAATGTTATCATTTCAAAAATTACTCATTTTTCAAAAAAAAATTTGCGGTTTAAATTCAAATTAGAAAACGATGATCAATTGAGCGATCCCCCCATAATGACCAATTGAGCTATCTCCCCTATTAAAATGAGTGAAACGCTCCAAAAAACATTTACAAAACCAAGGAGATGGCTGCTGTATTCATAACTTGACGTACTGAAGTTTATTGTATATAAGTTTTAAAAAAATTTCTATCTGAATACCGAAAACGTAAAAGCATTCTTAATTCACGACAGAAAAAAGTCGGCTTCAAATGCATCAACTTCAGTTTTTTTTTTTCACTCTCAAAGTACTTTTTGAAGTTCGTTATTGTGAATTTTGGTGTTCCACATTCGTTGGAGAATCTGGCTCATGATTTTATAATAGTAAACTACTTTCAAGTTATTATGAACACTCCTCAAGTGCCCCCCCCCCCCACCCCACCCACAACCACCACGCTAGTATGGGGAGGGTGGATTGCTCAATTGATCCGAATATGATTATGGGTTTGGTCAATTAGGCCTCAATCGTTTAAATTGTGACAGAAAACTTCGACAAACAAAAATCTGATTGACAGCTGTGAAGATTGATTCTGCTGTGTCGTTTTGCGAACTATATCATGGGTAACATGAAAATCAATACTTTTGTCTCTTTCTGTTTGGTATGGCCATTTCCCGAGTAGACTCGACGACTTTAGCTTTCTTTTTTAATTAGTGGTTGCTGAAAAATAAACAACAGAACTTCACGTGTACCACTGACAAACACAGCGGCAATTTGAAAATCTAGCCGCAAGCTTTAATTACTTATCTTTTCACAAAGCATGAAAAACGATTATCGTTGTATTTTATGACTGTGCTGTTTATAAACTATAAGTCTGCATCTTATGAATTTTTTGAACCATCTGTGAAGTTTTCGCCTGATTTGGCGTGATGATACAATTCAATGATTTGATTTGAAGATTTAGCCTCTGAGCTGATTTATCTGTTAAACGCCTTTCAGAAATCACTTCACGATTATAAGAGCTCTTATGGAATAAGTGGAATATTGTACATTAACTATAAAAATGTCTTGTTATGTACTGAGAAGCGCAGAAGACCATTAAGAAGCCATTAATGGCTAATAATGGCCCATTTAGCTCAGTGATATAAGATGATAAACTGTCATTTTTATTTTACTTAAAGATACGTTAGTCTCAATCTTAATTCTGGCCAGTTTTTCTAAGACAGAGCAAAATGCCATCGGTATTTCTTATCAAAACATCATTTAAAATCGGGTACAGTTTTCAAAGCGGTTCTATCACTTCTAAAACTAACATATACCGACTCGCCGCCTAGAAGTATGTATAAATTGGTAGACAAAAAACTTTTAACAGCAATTCCTTGTTTTTTGTTATACGCATATTTTTACGGACATATGAATAAATTTTTCAGTGGACTAAAAAAAACGAAAGTGCGAGGTAGTTTTTGCTTCACGTCAATCATCCAAAATCGTTCTTCGAACTTAACTGGTTCTTATAAGACGTGACTGCTAAGATTTATTATTTTCTTCAGAGGAGAAGGATGGGTTTTCTAAGAAATATTCAAATATTTTATAAAACTTTGTTAGATCTAATGAAAGCATTTATTTGAACGCTTCGAACAGCAAACCGACCAATTAAGGCCGAAACATGTGCGCCGCATGCATATTGTGAAAAATGAATCCACAAATGCCTTTACTGGATGCATTTTTGAAAGTTTTGTTCTGGAAATATCCCTGTCAAAATTTTAGTATTTTCTGTCATCGAGAAACGCAGAAAAATAAAAGCTCATCTTTGATTGGTCGAGAATAAACCAAATATAGAAAAAAGTGAACACACAAGAAAACTTTGAAAAGAAAATAAAAAAGTAAAATCTAAATTCATCTTAAATCAAAAAAACCTAAAATCTTAAGAATAGTGACCTTGAACAGAAGTAGTGATCAAGGCCATCCTTGCCTCTAAAGGCTTGGAGAGAGCACTGATTGCCCCGAAAAGAGGAGAAGTTTTTCAGCCTAATGTTCATCTGCCATTTATTGTTCCGACTTTTGATACGAAGGTAACGGAATATTTGTGCTCGGGTGGGTTTTTTTTCTCTTCAGACAAATTTCGACTTTTTAACTAGCCATTTTTGACAAAAATTTTTTTTATCATTCAAAAGGTATTGTTATCTTGAGCTTAAATTTGAAAAGATATTTTACCTGTGATCATTTTTCGTAAAGTTATGAGGGTTTAAAGATTGCCATTTTGGCCATTTTGACCAATTTGGGACAATTAACGCGCGATATAATTCGCACTGTTAAGGCGTAAGCGGAGATATAATCCGTCTTATAATCGTTCCAAAGTGGTTGAAAGAAGCGTATTTGCCATAATTGATTTGTTTTAAGGAACTAAATATATCTTTTTGTACTTTATATGGCGTGTAGGGGGATGATTTTCATTAAAAAAATGTCAAATTTTAGAAGAAAAAAAATTCATTGTTTTATTTCATTTACTTTTTTTATGTTATTACTGCTGCTCCATAAACCTTAAAAGGCAGTCGGAACAGTCTTGTTATTATTTAAGTTTTGTCCAATAAGATTGCTGTCTCATTTCGGCTCTGATAAGTTGATACAAAACTTACCTACATACTGACTTGTCTATTTAAACTGTTGTCTACTTGATTTTATGTGCGTAAACCTCAAAAGATTTTTCAGGATTGTACTGGACAAAATGAATTAAAGGTTTTTGTTAAACAGGTTTTTATGTTCACTAAAATAATTTTGAATTAGGGGAATTAAAAAAAACGAGATCAACGAATTAAAAAAAAAATTTCTCCTCCGCCCAGACTGATGTGTGGGAAATCAATTTTTTTTTCAACTTTGGTTTTAGCCAGTTATTTCAATTAGCAGTATCGCTTTAAAAAAATTTATTTAAAAAAGTAAATTATGTGATTGTCTTGTCGTACCATTATTAGCAAAAGTACCGTACATCAAAACTTCAGTGAGTCATTTTAACTTGCGAGTTTTGTTCGAAATTCATATTTATACAAAATAACAATTGTACTGTTGATCTCAAATTGCAACAAAACTGCACGTATCAGGGCGAGTCCCTGAATGTTTCGACTGCCTTTTAGGGTCTATGGAGCAGTAAAAGCATGAAAAATTAAATGTAAAAAAGAAAAATATATTTTTTTTTATTTGAGGTTTTTGCGGAAATTATCCCCCACACGCCTTATAAAGTACAAAAAGATAGATTTTGCTCCAAGTAACAAATCAATTATGGCAAATAATCTTCCTTCAACCAATTTGGAACGATTTCTGAGACGGAGTAAAAAATCTCCGCTTACGCGTTAAAGCGCGAAATATATCGCGCGTTAATTGTCCCAAATTAGCCAAAATGGCAATCTTTAAACCCCAATAACTTTACGAAAAATGATCACAGGTGAAATATCTTTTCAAGTTTAAGCTCAGGACAACAATAATTTTTGAATAATAAAAAAACCTTCCGTCAAAAATGGCTAGCTAGAAAGACGAAATTTGTCTGAAGAAAAAAAAACCACCCGAGCACAAATTTTCCGTTACTTTCATTACGAAAGTCGGAACAACAATACTGCTCGTATGAGGGCAAAGACCTGATTGTTCCGGCTGCCTCTTAAGGTCTATTGAGCAGGAATAACATGACACAAATTAAAGAAAATAAGAAAAAACTTAATTTCTTTTTCTAAAAAAAGTTAGATTTTTGTTTAAAAATCATCGCCCCACAGGCCATATGGAGTACAAAATGATAGATTTCGCTCCCATTAACAAATCAATTTTGCACAAAAGCTTCTTTTACCAATTTGAGACGCTTTACGAGACTGATTAAATCTCCGCTTACGAGTTAATAGCGCGAAAGATATCGCGCTTAATTGTCCCAAATAGGTCGAAATGGCAATCTTTAAACCCCCATAACTTTACAAAAAATGATCACCGATAAAATATCTTTTCAAATTTAAGCTCAGGACAACAGTACTTTTTGAATGATATTTAAAAAATTCCGTCAAAAATGGCTAGTTAAAAAGTCGAAATTTGTCTGAAGAAAAAACCCAACCCGAGCACAATTGCTCCGTTACTTTCGTTACGATAGTCGGAACAATAATTTCGTTGTGGCTTATCTTTTGAATCACAATTCTGATGCTTCGAATATTTTATAATTCTGTTGGAAGAAACACGACTTCTAATTACAATTTGAGTTTATCTGAATTTTTATGTAAAAGTTTTGAGTTATTAAACTTCTCTACAGCTAAATATTGAATCACTGAGATCAAATCATTTTATTTGACTACCGCAGATTGTTATCGATGTATCAGTTCATAAGGGGAACTAATGGTTAAATTGTTTACAACATTGAAGCACTTGGCTTATTCATTTTGCCTCAACTCTGTAATTGGATGAAAAAATTGGCAGCACAATGTGATTCAATGGATTTTTTACTTTATTCAGCTTCTTTTTTAATCGAACAATCGAATATTTTCGGGAGTTTCTAATAGTTTGATCAATAATGACCATTCAATTTAAGTAAATATTTGATCACTCCGAAAAATTTATTCAAACGAGGTTTTAAAATATTTGTTTACTTTTTCAAATGTAAACAAGGATAGCTGTGCAAGTTACTGTGCAAGTAACCCAGAATGGTCAGACCATAGTCTAAATACAAAAAAAAACATTTTTCAAATTAGTGTTGTTTTCCTGCATGTGTGATAAAAGGATCTGAACGAAACCCTATAATTTAGTTATAATTGACATTTATAGTAAAACAGGCAAAGTAAACAACAATTTTTGTAGAAAACTGACTGGAAAATTAAAACAAAATTTTTGACTTTTTGAATGCCAAATTGGCAGTAAAAATCTCCAAAGATTGACTTTATTTGAGTAACACTATAATTTACCGGCTTAAAGTAAACATAAGCAAACTATTGTAAGCTCAACAGCTCGCTTTAATTTTTAGACTAAAAATCAAAATTAGACAAAAAAACTTCAATTATATATATATATATATATATATCAGTCTGCCCATTCCGATGATTATTTGAGGTACATGAACAAAAAAATAAATAAAAGAACAAAAACATACCCGAATACAAAGTTCCTTTTCCATTCGCAATGGTCGGAACAAAAGCCCTGTTATGAAAACAAGTATAAACTCTGAAAAAGTTAAACTCAACTTTAAATAACAAAACTCTAGAGACATTATTATAATCGATGTCTTCAATCGTATTTGAAAACAAACTCTCATTGCAAAGGGGATACTTTCACTGAGAGAAACACTTATCAGCACTAATAATAAATCTTGGAGAAACTTCCCAAAAAAGTGCAATTATATCAAACACTAAATTAAAAGCAGTTCTCAGCAATTTTTCTTGGAGCTTTTTGATTAATTTCTTGGTTCTTACTCGGGCAGTTTTGTTCAAATCAGTCACAAAAATTTCGGTTACTTCTTTCCTTGTTTTTGAAAAAAGTAAGACTATATTGCAAGTTATTGCTCTGTTTCTGTGTTCTTGTAACTTTTATGTTTCAGTCAAACACAAGGACCGTGTGGAGGTTTTCAGCGGCGTTGTTATTTCCATTTTGTTTAAGGAGCTACATTTTTTCTCTTGGTCTAAATTATCGCTCTGTACAAATCGACATTTTTTTTTTGAAATATTGTGAATGATAAGTTTAGCAGTTAATGCATAACCTACTATGTGAGTTTTTTTTTCTGATTAAATTTTTACCTGGTAAATTTTTGACTTTTTTTGGCCAAGGTTTTGCGAAGAAAAAGTAGGCAAATGCATTTTCTGTACTAACCTAAGTTCCATAGTGATAACTAATAACTAGCATTAACGCAATCTCAGAGCTCCAAACAGTCTTCGTTTGTGTCTTGTGACTTTGATATTATAAATTGCGAAGTTTTTTAAACTTCATTTTGACTCAAACTGATGAGTCATAAGTTTACTCAAATGAAGTGAACAAAATGGTAAATTTAAGATAAACTACCAATTAAGCTGGGTTTTAAAGAATTCAAATGAAAATTAACTTTGAAAGGTAGAAGAAAACTTGCAATGTAGACCAAAATTTGCTCTGCAAAAGTTGTTTGTTTTCGTAATGAACATATTAAATTAAGTAGCTGTTTGAGTACCCAACGTATAATTCTTGTAGACAGAAATTGAAAAATAAATTGGTGATTTGAAAAATTCGAGAAATGCAAATTTTTGCTGATCAGTCGGTAGAATTTGAATTTGTTGAAAAGATAACAAATAATAATAGATTTATGACAATAAATAACCAACCATAATGCACATAAGAGTTAAATATGCGTAAGAAAGAACATTTTGACCATTTTTCAATCAAATCATTAAAAATACCTTACAGAACCAAAACAAAAACAACGACCAGTAATTTGGTAAGGTACCTCATCGAGATTTTAAGCGCTATCAACTTCACCTCATTTCTAATTCTTATTACTTCGTTGTTTTTATGAAGTCGACGTAATTAACAAAATTGTTTATTTTGAAAAAATATTAACTTTTTTTATAAATATTTTTAACTGTGATAGGAGGTCAAGCTTGAATTTTGTAACAGAAGGACTGGTAACAGAAAACATGGCGCGCAGATAAACTTCAAAATGGCAAGCTTGAGGACTGCAGCCGCTCCTACGATACAAAACCACTTGTAAACTTGACACTTTAATAGCCACTGAGGGCTTTGAGATTATAATCTGAATTAATATGCCTTTAAGGTTCGCAGGCGGAACATGGCAAAGGATTTGGGACCTCTTACGGTGTTTATAAGATGGGCACTTATTAGTTTGGCGCTAAACTTGGGCTAATTTCAGTCCGTTTTTATTAACCGGGCCTTCAGCCGCCCCTGATAAAAGAACTAAATCGGCCCAAATGGGATCTAAGAGCCGATAATAAAGAGATAATGTTTCGGATCGGCGCGATCGGGTTTAAAATGGAAGCGTTTTGGGATTGTTGGGATTGTAACTTAAGTGAATTAAGCTAAGTGGTCTGTTTTTCGCCCAAAACCACCGAAGAGACAAATTTCTACTCTTTATTCCAGTGACATGTCCATTAATGATAAACGAAGACGCCCATATAAAAAATACTTATCAGATAAAATGAATTATAAAAATTTAAAAAACAAACTTGATTGCGCAAAAAATTGCTAAAATATAAAATTTGTTCTGTAACTAGTGAGTTGTTAACCAACAACGACAAAAAAGCAGATTTTTATTTGCCTAAAAATTTTGACTAAATTAATAATCTACAAGATTAGTTAAAATCTCGCAAGTTTTTGGCATACAGTGGTATTCAAGTTTTTACAGCAGATTGGCATTTTCATGACAACTCGAAATTTGCTTGTAAGTTTTTAAAAAAATTTATTTAGTTTTTTTTTCTCAAAGCTTCACCATTTTTGCAATTACCAACAAGCCGAACCTCTTCGGATGTGAGATTAATTCATTGTAAGCTTAAATAGGGGTTGGGCGTATGCGCACAAAGCGATTGCTTGTAGCCATTTGTCAAGTGTTAAACATTCATACAACATATATAGCTGCTGTGCTCTATCTGGAGCCAATACAACCATCCGATGGAATGGTGATTCGAAACCAGTTCAAATAACCGAATTCATGCAGTAATTTTGAAACTGATGCGCCATTAAATTGGCAAACATAAGATATCTTTTTTACTTGACGAAAGCGTCGCTTATGCTTTATCGTTAAATTAGTGCTTAATAGGGGTGGATATTGATAGTTAGTAGGCTCTATATGGGGCTGTTGTTTTAAGGAAGAAGGCCACATTGGGGGGGGGGGGTAAAAGGGTCCCAAAACTCTACTTCTTCCATGTGTGCTCTCATGATGTTTGCGCTTTTTTCCAATCTTTCGAATGTCTGCACAAAATTAGAGTTTTCGGAAGTTTGAGCTATCGGATGTTCGAACCTTACCCAAATTATCTTAAGCTCTTAATCGCTTGTCAAATGTGTGGCCAAGGCGCCTTTTATTAAAAGTGTCAAAGGCGCGGTAAGTTTGCAACACCACTTCCGGATTTATGCTAATAGCAGTCTAATTTGGACGATTAGAAGCCGACAGTTTTTAAGGAGAGGAGACACGGGCAATTTTCATGCCCGATGGACCAAAAGGGGCAAAAATTCTCAACCATCAATGCCCTTTAAACTGTCCAAAGCGGTCTGATTTTATCGCTTATAGGGATTAAGTTTATGACTAAGGAAAATTGATTGGCTGACAAAATTTTCGCCCATTTGGTCACTGGTGCATGAGGGGATCCCGAAGAACGATTTTTTCAAAAGTCTTGAGAAAAATCATCACCAGTTCGCATTTTACTCTAACACGAAATTTCTATGCTAAAAAATTGCTTATTACAAACGTTGGATAAATTCAACATTCATTCCAGTTAAGGTTACTGAAGTTTTTGTTCTCAAATTATGATTTGAGCACATTTTCGGAAATTTTTGTTCTCAAATTATGATGTAAATAAAACAATAGAAAAACTCAGTCTAGCGACGATCAATACTTAATGCCTTTCATCTCTCATAAAGGCATTTGTTTAAATTCAATTGCTGGTATATAATTTCCGGCAGCAATACTCCAAAGCTTGATTTTCACTCAAAAAACAAACAAATTCTAGAACTTGCCAACATCCCAGAAGTGTAGCTAAATAAGGTCTTTTTAGTGCTTCATTAGTATGCAAGAAGCGCAGCTGTTTAGCAAAATAAAGTTTTTTTAGTGATTGCTCAGATTTCGGAAAATCAAAATGATCAATCTACAAAAAAAAACTATGACACAAGTCTGAACTAAGCGGTTTTTGTTTGAACTGAACACAGTCCTTCTTGTCATAGGTTTATTTTGTAGATCGATCATATTGATTTTCCGAGGTCTAATGAAGCATTAAAAAGACCATTTTTTGCTAAATTTTATGCTGCTTGCAAAAATTTGAGAAAATATCCAAAAAAAAATTTTAAAATGTTTTTCGGACAGTTAATACAAAAAGACAATGTTTTGACGCGTGCTCTACCAAAGCCGCGCCGGATTCTCAACTGGTATATTAATGCAGATTTGAAAACTCGAGAAAGGACTTTTCTAACACTTACGGTAGTCGGCGAACCCTGAACAATTCCTGGTGAGAGTTGATTGCACACACTTCATTCGAAATAGTTAATTACACAAAAAAGCGTGTACAATCAATCTCTTGCACGGGTGGTTCAGGATTATCTCAAGAGCGCAGCACTTTTTAGTCTTCCAGGACAACCTAATCGTCTATGCAACAACAAAAAAACAAGACGAAACGCGTATGCTGGCAACCAGCGGAAGAATCGTAGAAAAAAAATTCACTATCAAGGAAGCAAAGTCGAGTTGGAAACCATTTATGATAGTTTTTCGTTTCGTATAATCAGTATCAGTATGAGCAGCAATACGCAGATGTCGCGAAAAACGCGAGGCTCCAGTTGTTTTTTATTGTAAGACGGTCGGAACACTTTTAGCTTAGAAGCAATTCCACTCAAAAATTATGTCTTAAGCGTTTCGCAAATTTTCGTTGCCCCAGACGGAGAGATGCTTAAAACAGCAAAAACCAGTATAATTGCATGTGCTAGTGCGTTGACAAGCTTCGCTTATAAACTGAACTTTTTACTAGGAGAGCAAATAAAAATGCTCTAATTATACTTGTTTAAATTCAATTGCTGGTATATAATTTCCGGCAGCAATGCCAAAAACTCAAAAGCTTGATTTTCACTCAAAAAACAAACAAATTCTAGAACTTGCAAACAGGCCAGAAGTGTAACTAAATGAGAATTTTTCAGTGCTTCATTAGATTGCAAGAAGCGCAGCTTTTTAGCAAAATAAAGTTTTTTAGTGATTGCTCAGATTTCGGAAAATCAAAATGATCAATCTACAAAAAAAACAATGAAACAAGTCTGAACAAAGCAGTTTTTGTTTGAACTGAACACAGTCCTTCTTGTCATAGGTTTATTTTGTAGATCGATCATATTGATTTTCCGAGATCTAATGAAGCACTCAAAAGACCATTTTTTGCTAAATTTTATGCTGCTTGCAAAAATTTGAGAAAATATCCAAAAAAAAGATTTTTAAAGGAGAAGGAAAAAAACAGTACTTTACAAAACAAAAATCATATTAAGTCCTACCTTCTATTGGCAAGCTCGCAACACGTTGGCGCGACTTATGCGGTCACTATTTTGTTTTTAATGTTTGTTGAACAAAGGACAATTCTCGGCCTACCGGCTTGTTAAAACAATGCCGGCTTGTTAGTACAAAAATTAGATTTCCTACAATCAAATACCTCGAATATTGCAAGCAGTTTTTGCCTTTAATCCTTATAGACGAAAAAAACCTGCAACTTCGTCCAGTCGGTATGGAATAAAAACACATGAAGGTTAACTTATTCAATCAGAGAGGCCTGTATTTATAAGCAGTAATCAGACGGCAAAACTCAATTAATAGACAAACTTAGCTCCGAGGAAACGAACCAAACAACCCTGAAGATGCTGAAAGTCTTGTGTAAAATGCCTGAGCCATTTGTAGTCATTTGCAGATCATCAAACAGAGCCGGATTTAGTTACAAATTTAAAGACCATAAAAAGTCCGGAGTCAAAGGAAACACTATGGAAATCCTCAACGGACATCATTTTTAGAAAAATAAGTAGGGCAAGATAGCATCTTATTTCAACAAGATAAAACTCCTAGTTGAAACTTAGAGAGATTAAACATGAAAACTTACTTCATGATGATGAGTGGTTTCTGCGATTCGCAGAGGATCTATGAATGGCCTCTTTTCTAGCCTGTCTCAGAATAGTCCGTTTCTTTTATTTCCGCACACTCCAGATTGAGTTATTTTGTTGAGCGAAGCTCTTTATTATGCGACTCAAGGCCGTTTTTTTTTGCGTCTAGAGCTTTCAAGTGGTACCACTATTACAGCTGTAATCGATCAGGCTGTGGTAGACCTGAAGCTAGAGGTCAAGTGAGAGATCGTCCTCACACATTATCATTGCCATGGCAGGGGATCGATTGCACGATCTGACGATCTCAAAGTCAACGCCTTAGCACTATGCTAAGTGCCTCAAGTTAATCTACAAAAGTTTGAAATTTTTTGTTTGATATTCTATTTCGGTTACTGTTAATTCGGGATTCAATAAAAAGTCGAATTGTGCCATGCAAGGTTGAATCTCATACTTTTATCATTTTTTTTCATGAATTCGATGCAAAAAATGTCGAACGTTTTTTGGGTAAAAATTACTAAAAATGGGATTTTTTGAACCTATTAGATAAATTTTCTAAGGTCATGAAATGTATATCGTATTTTCCAATCATAACAACTGTAGATAGCTGCTACGCTTAAGAAAAATATCAATCTAATCGATTTCAAGGAAAAAAATTGCAAGAAATACCTTTTGCTATGTATAACTCCATTTTAATGACACCAATTAATTTATATAGATTTTTTATGAGTTACAGTTATTATCAGCTATCATTTTAAGCCCCTAGCGATGTTCTATTCATACATAGGTCAGTTTTCTTCTTGGACGTAGGTATCCCTCTCTCAGACGCCAAGCTACCATTAATATTACAAATTTTGGACATTTTTTTCAATACAAAATAAATGGGTCTCCTTGCGTTCCAATTTGTAGAATAACAAAAATTTCTCCTCATTTTGTACAAAATTTTACAATAAAAA